GGTTAAGCTGCTCCCGAGATAAACAGGTCCCCACAGGGCGTTTGTGTGGAGCGTAAAGGAAGTTGATTGATCATGTTGCCAGATATTACATCCGCTCAAGCTGTAGCAAGGAAACAAATGGATGCTCTTCCACAGGTGGAACACCCCCATCTACTCCTCCAAACCCAGCCTAAATTCTGATATCTACATTCTGAAATAAATGGCCAGGAGCCCAATGCTGCGTAACTGAATTCACATAAGTCTTGGTAGCAAATAGCTACTCATGATCAAAGCGCTGGTTGAGTTCCTGCTCACGTGTCCTGGAATGCAATGAACATCTCGTTATGGAGTGGCAAAATGCAAAGATTTGTATGCTTTCTCTTGCACAAGTGTAAATCACTAGCAGGATTTGGGCCCATGGACTTTTAATTTTTAGGTTGTGCCTCTTTTGGGGCAGAAAGACAGGATATTAATTAAAATAGACTCATCTGTACGAGGTGAAAGCACAGAGCAGAACATCTGCCCAGCGGTTGGGGTAGATCCACTCTTCCTCCTTCAGCCATTCAATTCTTTCCAACCAATTTTTGAAGAGGTGTGAATTTTGGTAAGCCTTTGTCCAAAACAAGCTTCGCTACCATTTGAACTGGCCATTGTCAATTGCTACGTAAATCTGTTACCTAGAAAGGAGGAAATCTGTGTTGTGTCCATGGAGATGTTAAAGGCGAGGATCCATGGCAGGAAAAAAAAATCAGGTCAAATCTTAATTCAGCGCTCCACACATCGTTGATTAGAGAGTTTCAGAGAGGGACTCTAAGCCTTAAACACTCAAGAATTCTTTATACAGAAGAGCAAACCTATTCCTCTCACTTTATCCACATGTTAGCTCTTGAACTCTCAAGGTCTTAAACCCAATATCCCTTCCTCTGCCATCCACAAACTCGAGGAAACCACAAAACCAGCATCTCTCTGCCTTCTGAGATGGCTTTTCTGTGATCTGAAGGTAGAGGACAGGTGGTCTTCTAGGCCATATTGGATTACAACTCCCATCAGCCAGGGTGAGGGATAGTGGCAAATGTAGTCCAACACCATATGAAACATGGGGAAGGGCACAAGTTACCCACCTCATTTCTGGAAAGACCAGCTGAAATCCAGACGTTAGTCACAGCTAGAGGAGACCCACTGAATCAATGGGGATTTGGTGGGTCAAAGTCACAATTTATTCCATTGATCCAATGGGCCTACTCGAGCTGGATTTCAGCCACTGTACAAATGAAGTGTGCCCGTTTGGCAACCCATCCTGCTTTGCACTCTGCAATGGGATCCATCTATTTCAGCCTCCATGCTTGGACACAGTTAAATACAACGCAACCAAAGGATAGTTGAACCAGGCAGGACCGAGAAACAAATGCAGCGCATGGTGTCATAATTCTGTCCCACTCCCTGCTTAATGGGGACCATAACACTTCCACGACACGGGTATTTGCTGATTCTGTGTTTTTTTTTGTCAAAACATGAGTGTTAAACAGGGAAGCTTTACAGTAGCCTGCAGCAATCAATCACACACTCTCTATCTTCTAGGACTGCCATCATTTCCATGAACTGCTGGCCAAAGTCTCCTTAATCACCATTGACATATTACTAAATGCCCACTTAACATGTACACAAGAAAAGTATGTGTCAGTTGCTATACCTCTGGAATTAATGCCACCCCAGTGAGTCCTTTGGAAACACAAGGAACAGCTAGAGATCTTTTCTGTTTAATCCAATCTCGGCCATTTGCTAATTCCATGAAAATTACACCTCTGTGACGGTAGGCAATTGAAAATAATTTATGCTTGATTTGTGAAAATAACCCAATAGTATAAAGTACCAATCTCTTTCTTCCATTAAATAAATATATACTCTACAACAATGTCACCCTAATGACCCAGTGGCTGAAATCCAGCATTAAGCTGCAACTAGAGTGGACCCATTGAATCCATGGGGTTTATGGAAGAATTGACTCATCTAGCCCCTGTTATTTCAGTAGACCTGCATTGGTTGGGACTTACTATTGGATTTTAGCCACTGTTTGATATTACAAACTGTCCTTCGGAACTAAGCAAAGACTTTCGTCTCCATTGGACAACAACCGTGTCTCAAATCCTCCCATCAAAACTGATCTCATTCTGCTGGCGTTCAGCTCTCTGAAGGAAAGGAGGGAGATAAATAATATTGGAGTGATCAGAGATGCTTGACAAGCCACCAAAATGACGTGTGATGGACACGTGGAGTCTGTGAACTGATGGATTTTCCACACTGGTCTAGACTCAAGTCTTGTTCTGTCATTATGACCAATAAAGGACATAGGGGAGAAGACTAGAAAGATAAAGAAGGCAATGGGAACATGAGTTGGGTTCAATTCATGTTCCTGAAATTGGCTGTTTCTGCTGCATCGAAGGTTTCTAAATACTACAGTTAATGGCATCGGAAAAAGGTGTGTCAGTGTTGAATATTTGTCAGTTTAAGATCAATCGCTCAAAAAAACTTACAACGCATTTTGTGCCTTTCTGTTGGCCTCAACGTGACACTGCCACAGTCACACCGCAGGAGAACTCAACTTTTTTTTTCTGATGTCTCTTTGTGCCTTTCTGTTGGCCTCAACGTGACATTGCCACAGTCTCCGTTATATGTTTTATGGATTGAGATGACAGGTGACACATGGCTGTTGGGTCCACCATCATCTCAACAATTAGAGCTACAGACCTGGAAGGGAACCTAGTGATCATCATCCTTGGCAAGGGAGGCCCGGGGGGGAATCAAACTCCCAAAATCTGGCTCCACAACCAGGGACCTAAACCCACTGAGCTATCCATAAAACCCTACCATTTAGAGGTGTTGCACAAACGCACTACATCAGAGCTTGGAAATGTTCCTTTTAAAACTACAGCTCCCATAATCCTCCACCCAGCATGCTCGGAACTGTAGTCGTCTTCTTTTTTTTTAAGGGAACGTTCCTCAGCTCTCACTCCATTGGATAATAACAAAGTAAATCCCATTTACTCTGAAGATAAGGGAGTGCCTCATAAAATGTAAATGAAGTATGAGTGAGTACATTTTAGATTAAAGAGCTCCATATTACATTTAAATACCTAAACATGCAGAAATGTTCCTGAAACTCAAGCTCTTTCCTCTTCCTAAATAGGCTTAAATGGCAATATTTGCTGTACATTGGTAATCTTATGTGATGCTCCCATTGGCAAAGTTTGCAATAGAAATAACTGATAGGGTATATTATTCCTTTTTCCACTTAAATGTCCACAGATACGACCTAGAGAACGAATTATAAGCCTTCCAATTTCATCCCATTATTTCTTTAACAACATCGGCTGACAATCATCTGTTTTATGGGAAATATTGATTCCCCCTGAAAATTATATAGCTTCTTTACCTATATCTTAGAAAACTTAATTATGATATTTAACAAAACTCATTTCATCTCCTGCATCATCCCAAATGCTGTTACTGTATTTTCGATATTTGCTTATCAGAGAGCACCATATGAATCTTAATGTCTTATTGCTTATGTTGTTTCTGCCTTTGGTGATGAAACATGAAATGTGTAAAGCTAGCGCTGTTGAGAGTGACAGCTTGTGGGGGGGGGGACTCAAGTCGTGGGACTTGCTGTCAAGTCGGACTTAAGTCATACCAGTGACTTGACTTGAATGCGACTCGGGGGGCGGGTTCAATGACTCAGACTTGACTTGTCACTCAGAACCCACCCACCCCTTTTTTTTCTAGGAGTAAAGCTTGTTTAGGGATTTGGGACTTGGTACTGAAGACTCTACTAGAGGGATGAGGTGGTGCTTTGGGTTAAACCACAGAAGCCTCTGTGCTGCAAGGTCAGAAGAGCAGATTGACTTGAATGCGACTCGGGGGGCGGGTTCAATGACTCAGACTTGACTTGTCACTCAGAACCCACCCACCCCTTTTTTTTCTAGGAGTAAAGCTTGTTTAGGGATTTGGGACTTGGTACTGAAGACTCTACTAGAGGGATGAGGTGGTGCTTTGGGTTAAACCACAGAAGCCTCTGTGCTGCAAGGTCAGAAGAGCAGATATCGTAAGATTGAATCCACACAACGGAGTGAGCTCCTGTCACTTGTCCCAGCTCCTGCTAACCTAGCCATTCGAAAGCATGTAAAAATGTAAGTAGATAAATAGGTACCACCTTGGTGGGAAGGTAACAGCATTCCGTGTCTCGTCGCGCTGGCCACGTGACCACAGAAACTGTCTATGGACAAACGCTGGCTCTACGGCTTGGAGACGGGGATGAGCACTGTGCCCTAGAGTCAGACACGACTGGACTAAATGTCAAGGGGAACCTTTACCTTTACAAAAGACTCCAACTCAGACTTGAGACTCAGTACCAAAGACTCAAGATCTGGACCCAAAGACTTGACTTGGGACTCAGACCCAAAGCCTGGCCAACATCCCCGGTAGATTGTGCCTGCTTACAATGGCCATCACTCTGAAGCCTTGAACACATGAAAGGAAGCCCAGCTACATCAAAGTGGCTTGCAGCTGTCTGATCTCTAGCCCGTGTAACTTCCTGAGTCAATTGCTCCGACTGCTTGGGGTCTTGCTTTGAGCCTAGTCGTGCTTACTAATAAATTCCCATTTTGCACTGAGGGTCCTATACAAAGCGTTTCGGCTTTTCTGTACGTAATTTGTTACTTTTCCCGTGCATTAAGCTCCTTCGTCATTTCCAGTGCGTCATAACCACCTTAGGACCACAGGGCTGGAAGGGATCCTGTAGATCATCAAGTCCAGTCCCTGGGGAATCGAACTCCCAACCTTTGGCTTCGCAGCCAGAGACCTAAACCCCTACCCAGAAGCTCTAATATGCATCATCATGAGGAAAGGGGGTGATATCATTATCAAAGACACCAATTGCATGAGTTGTGCAAATTCTCTGTGTGTGTGTGTCAGCTAGTGTTCCTTCTATTCCTTCCTTGCCAGTAGGGTAAAAAGCAGATTCTTACCACATCCATGATTTGTCTGAGGCTGAGGCTGAAGGAAACCGTCAGAGGCTGGGAATCGTTGGCCACGGGTCTTTCCAACGGGTTGTAATTTTTCAGCAGCTCCTTATAGAGTTTTCTCTGATACTCTCCTTGCAGGGAGACTAAAGGGAGAGAGGCAAATGAAGAAGGGTTTAACATATTTGATGCCACCCAAGTCAGCTCCAATCAACTTTGAACAATTAACAGACTAGAGGGCTCATAATGAGCTGGAATAGGTTATGTGCGGGGGATGATGGGTTGTGGCATTCTCAGTGGAATCGGGTGACTGGTTTTTAGGGGCACAGACTCCAAATTTCACAGGAGCTGTCCATAGTGCTGAATTTATACTGCACGTTTCCTCTACAGATTGGATTTTCTTATTTTCTGGACTACAAACTCCATGGTTCTGCAATTTGGGAGTTCTCCCTACCTTACAAACACCTCCGTGTGATGCACCTGGGGAAAAGTCTAAATCGGAAGGTTTTGAGCAGTGGTTCCCAATCTTGGGTCCCCAAAATGTTCTTGGACTGCAACTCCCAGAAGCCTTCCCCACTAGCTGTGCTGGCCAGGATTTATGGGAGTTGGTGTCCATGAACATCTGCAGACTCAAGATTGGGAACCACTGGTTTTTAGGCAGAGCTAGGCCAAGTTCCACCCAAGCTTTTTTGCTCATAAAAAAAGGTCCCGGTTAAGCACTGGGACAGAGAACAGGAAGGTGGAGCAAAACTAAGCTTAGCTAAACTACAAAGCCCTCCAGTTGATAGATGACACCCATAAAATCTGAAAATCCCATCCCTAGATACAGCATCTTAGACAGTTCTTGCAAAATTCAGAATAAATATGGACCAAATTCAGCACCTGCAGAGGTCCTAGAGGATGTTACATTTCAAACAGAAAATGATGAGTGGAATCAAAGCATTGTTTCGGATGTAACAGGAATTACTTTCTAGTTACTTTTGCAAGGTTTTGTATGGCATTTTGGATTTGATTTGATAGGATTCTTTTTTTTTCTTCCTCCAAATGTCATGCCATTTTCATTTATCCCAAGGACATTTAAACAGTAATGAATAGTAAGCAAAAAGTAATAAGCAAGGCAATGAATAATGTAAACCCGGCTTTTTTCAACACTATAACCATTAATTGCTCAATCAACCATTTTATTTGCATACTGCCTTTCTATAAACAATATGCACAAAGCAGTTCTCGCTGAAGTAAATACAGCACCAACAATGAAACAATAATGTAAGAAGAGTGAACAATGTATTTGAAAAATCAAGAATCAGTAGCAAAACAGTCAAATATATGGCAATGAGTTACTTTTAAAATACCAAAGTGATACATGGGAATGAACTACATTTTAACAGCCACTTTGCAAACCTATGACTCAGATAACTTTGATAAAACAGCTGTTTTTCTGAATAACAGCAACTAAGATGCTGCATTCTATGGGAACTAAGAGAGTCACTTGTGAGCAAGACAGAGCATGGTTTAAATCTCCTCTCTGCCATGTGCTCATCGATTGTTTAAAGCCATTCTTATGGGCTACACTACCCGCAAGGCAGTGAATGGCCAGAAGCAAACCCAAAAGGATCTTGTACAAAGCTACTTGTTATACGTGCAAGACAGTGACCAATTCAATCATTTCAAACTGACCATGTTAGCTGTGGAATACTGGGAGTTTTACTCCAAAAGACAATTTTTTTCATCACAAGATCGGAGCCAGAGTGATCCACAGTGTTAGGGCTCTTACCAAGGGAATCATATCTCTGAAGACAGAGACAGGCAACCCGTCATTAGAAGAGATAAATCCTTAGCATCTGAAAGCGTCTAAGTGTGTAGCAAGAGCTTTAGTCACCCAATTTAATTTGCAAATTACTTTCCTTTGTAGTGAGACAAAACAATGACTAGCCTTGCTCTGTCGTAAGAGTGATCTTTGGGACTTAAACACTGGAGTCTTTTGAAATGTGATTTCTCAAATGCAAATATCTGTCTGAATCATGTCTCGCCAACAGTAAAATGCATTCAGCTGTAATCATTGCCTACAATGTCTGTTTCCACTCTTATGCACATCACTCTAATAGATCTCAAGCAATAGCCCTTGAGAAGGACTAGGTGCATAGTCCAGACCTGGGCAAAATGTGGCCGTCCAGATGTTGCTGATTTGCAACTCCCGCCCATCTAGACCAAAGGTCTACTCTTGGTACCAAGTAAAAGGGGGGGGGAGAGAGAAAGAAAGCCAGACAGCCAGACGACACACTGTATGGTTTTTCATAGAAAGAGCAGAATCTTTAAAAAGCAGAATCTGGCTGCCAGATTTTGTTTGTTCCACTGAAAAACAGCTTTTTCCCTCGGCCAGTCTAAGGAAATATTTCTGGGAAAGCAAAGCATACGTTTTACGCTACCAAGGCCAAGTGTCCGATGAGAGGAAGCAACTTCAAGAAGAGGAAAAAGTCTTCCTTTCAACCATTTCCAATTCCTGCAGCCCAGAATCTATTACAGTTTTTTTCATTTTTTAAAAAAGATGAACTTGTTGGAAAGGTCCGGCAAGGGGGGGGACACAAAATATGCATTCAGCGAGAGATAATTTGGGAATTACCAGCAAAGAGGGCTCTCCGTGACAGAAGGATGGCAGGCCAACTTGAGTCAAAATGACCTGTCAAGATCCATTATTGCTAAGACATTCATCTCACTAATATATTACCAACAAGTCTTCAATAAATTCATCCAAGATGCTGTAGAGAACGTACATGTATTCCTAAAGCTGTAATGGAGCCATCTCTCACACAAGTGCGTATAAAGTTTTCTTCCGGTGGAATCAAATGACTGGGACAACTTTGGTGTTAGCTAATGGAGGTTTTGTTCTCGAACATATGGAGGCAATCTCTATCCTAGATCTGTTAGCTTTGCCTTTCATCTTTTTAAAACTGGAAATACCACTGTCCTCTGTGTCTTAGAGGAGTCACTGGGGCATCACCCAGATCTATGGATACCTTGGACCACCAGGAAGACAAATGTGTAGGTTCTAGATCAGATCAAGCCCAAACTCTCACTAGTAACAGAAACAACTTAACTGAGGCTGTCATCTTTAGGGCACATCAGGAGGAGACAATGGCAAGGACAATAATGCTAGGAAAAGCTAGAGGTCGTTGGAAAAGACTAAACATGAGATGGATTGATTCAATAAAACAAACCAAAGGTTCTGGAATTTACAAGATGTGAGCAGGGCTGCTAATGGTAGATCCTTTCAAAGATCACCGATTCATAGGGTCACCGGAAGTCAGAAGTGACTTGACAGCATATAACGATACCCATCAAGCGGTGTTCTGTGCTGATTTCAGGAGATGGATCTGCACCAAGGATTGGATGCAAAGTTTTCTATACACAAAGCGGGTGCTCCAGAACTAAGGTGTGGCCGTCCACTCCCAATCAAGCATGGGACGGCCAGGAGTGGAAAGGCACATTTTGCATTTTGATCCATAACTGCTAGAGATAGGCATGAATTAAAATCAAATTGCAAAATTCCTCAAAAATTGTGAATTCGTCTATTTGTATCCATACAAATATATTCCCCTAACGAATACAAATCAGTGAATTTTTAGTGATTTTTTTTGATTTGTTGATTCACTGGGCTACAAAATGGATCCCCATGCACCTACAGGAACCAAAACTGCAGATAATTTTCCTTGACTCTCTACACTCCCTGCAAAGATTGGTGAAGACTGGATTTCCCCAAGCCAGCTGCTTAAGGGCACTTTCCCACGGGGACCCACTGGAAACCTGCAAAGATTATAGAGAAGAGTCAGGGAGAGCTGCTGTGTGATGTTGGTGTCTCTAGGTGCCCAGGGGGATGGAGGCATTTTATAGGGTTTTAAATGCAAAAATAAATTTATGGATCGGTTCATCAGAAAAAAATCATAAATGTGTTATTCGTGATTTGTCAAACTTGATGAGTCAAAATGAATCACTATTTTTTCCAATTTGTGCCCATCTCTAATAACTACCAATCAAAAGTGTTGTAACCTCCAGAAGAACCTGATTTTCTCCCCATGAAAATTAGGAGTGTATAATAGAAACCAGACGCATGTTCTTGCTTGCCACTGGCATAAATACATTAACAGCATCATAATATCCTCAAATCCCATGATTTCTCCTGCAGGTAAGGAGCTATAGATGAAGATTCCCTACGTGCAGAAAAGTAACACAGTGTGGGATGTAGAGAGAATTGCTCTGTGATTGCATACGGAGAATTTTATTTTAAACCATCCTTCCACTGGAGCCATAGCACTGAATACTGTAAGGGGATAATCCTTTTGCCCCCCTACACACACACCGTTTCCTTGATTAAATCCACTCTTCAGTGCTTCCTTTTACCCCGTGGGGAAAACAAAACCAACAGCTCTCCTACTGGAATGGGTTGAATGATAAATGCAACCCAGCCCTACACTGAGAAGTCCTGGCATGTTCTGCAAACTTAGCTCACAAACAGAGTTTATTTAATTCTAAGCCAATGTTTGGAAGGATCTGCAAACTTAGCTCACAAACAGAGTTTACTTAATTCTAAGCCAATGTTTGGAAACTCCAATGAGTCCAAAATGCTGCAGCCAGATTGTTAACTGGGGCTGGTTAGAGGGAACCTATAACTCCCCTGTTACACTGGCTGCCGATCCATTTCTGGGCACAATTCAAATTGCTGGTTTTAATTGATAAAGCCCTAAACAGCTTGGTGGAGACACAGGAGAGAGAGCCTTCTCAGTGGCTGTTCCCAGAGACTCTGGAACTCCCTCCCACTGGAGGCCAGCCTGGCTCCATCTGTGCTGTCCTTACGCAAGCAGGCAAAAGACCTTTCTCTTCAGGCAGGCTTTCCCTCAATGTCTCACAGTCTGAGAGGGGCTTTTCAAATTGGATTTTTGTGTTATCTTGCTTTCAAATGTGTTTTTAGTATTCATCTTATTCCTCATTTTTAATACTTATTTCATTATTTTTTAATATAAATATATATATTTGTATCCTTAGCTGTTTTTTAGTTTTTAAAGATGGTCCTTTTAATGATGTAAGCCACCTTGCGTCCTTTCCAGGAGAAAGAGGGAACAAAAGTATTTTAAATAAATAAATAAATAAATAAGAAGGCTCTTAGGATGCAACCCTAACAGCAGTTACTCAGGAGGAAGACCCACTGTATCACAAGAGCGCTCCTGTATATAACTGTATTCAGAACATATTGAGTCTTTAGCTAACCAACCTGTAGCTGCAGTTATGCAGGACACCGTAATCTGGAGCTAAAACCTGCTTTAACTAAAGGCCAGACTCCTGTTGGCCTATGCAACCATGGAAGGACAATCACGCAAAGCAAGGTAGCTCTTTCCTGAGTGGTCTTTTTCACACCCAGTCTTCCCCCGGTTGCACAATCAGTTGTGCCCTCGACCACACCGTGGGCAGCCTGGGATAGGCAAGAGAAAAATTCCATGAATCTCCCGTACCTGTGTAGAAAATGTGAATCGGGCTTGGCCAGAATCCTCACACACATCTTCAGAGGAGTGGTTAGAAGGATGAATTCCAGGAAGAATGGGATTCTTCCTGGAATTCATCATCCATCCTTTTGGATGGTGGCTCTGAATTCCCAGAATAAGATGCCATGGAGACTTTCACCGTGCGTCTTAGCAAGTCTCCTCAAAGACTCAGAAGAAAATGTTCCCACCAGCCTTGACTTCATTGTATTTATGGGCTGCTCATTGCTTATGCTGTTCTGTGCTGTGAAGACACATCTAACTTGTGGTGGCCCTTTATAAAGTTTTCAAGGTATGTGAGACGAATGAAGAATGAATTATCATTGCCTCACCACAACCACTACAAACCTCCATGGCTGACCAGAGATTTGGACCCACATCTCCTGAGCCATAGTCTGACACTCTAGCCGTGGGCTCTCACCAATTCTCGTGGTAAGAGCCAGTGGGGTGCAGCAGACAGGGTGGGTAGGGTATCAGACTAGGATTCTACAGATCTGGGTTCAAATCCCCACTTGGTCATATAAAACCATTTGCGGTGACTGATGGCAATCGTAAACCCCTCTTGGGACATCTCACAGGCTTTCAAATCCTATTTAGGGTCACCATGAATGGGAAGTAACTTGATGGCCCCTAAAACAAATCACGTGAAGCAGCTATTTGCACAAACTGTGGCTGGTTTGTTCTGTTCATGTGCATGCTGTCTTAGAAGGCAACCTACCAACACACCAACCAACCAACCAACCAACCAACCAACGGAAGGAAGGAAGGAAGGAACCAACCAACCAACCAACCAACGGAAGGAAGGAACCAACCAACCAACCAACCAACCAACAGAAGGAAGGAAGCAACCAACCAACCAACCAACCAACCAACGGAAGGAAGGAAGGAAGGAACCAACCAACCGACCGACGGAAGGAAGGAAGGAACCAACCAACCAACCAACCAACCAACGGAAGGAAGGAAGGAACCAACCAACCAACCAACCAACCAACCAACCAACCAACCAACCAACCAACCGACGGAAGGAAGGAAGGAACCAACCAACCAACCAACCAGCCAGCCAGCCAGCCAACCGAAGGAAGGAAGGAAGATCAGTTTCTGAGTTGCCAAGCAATTATTTGTTCCCTGAAAATTATGCATCTTGGCTCATGCAAAGAATCTTGGCCCATGCAAAATCCTTTTTCCTCAGAACAACCCTTTGAGGCAGGCCATCAATCCCATCCCCCTATCCTATTTGTCAGATCTGACTCTGGGAAATACATAAAGTGGCTTGTTTCATGAATCAACCAACTCTTTCTATAGCCTTCCGAGGTGCTAGCTGGCTGGAACCCCCAAAGGCCAGAAATGAAATCCATCCACAACAGAGGCCTTACAGACGCCAAGCCCTTCTGCTCAGGATGAGGAGCCTGGTTGCAGTGAGAGTGGAAAGACATTCCATGCAGGGCGGAGCTCCCTTTATGATGTGTGTTTGTTTCTTTCCTGCATGTTACTCATTGAAAATTATCGCTAGATGTTTATCCCAAATATTATGTTATATTTATAGATTCAAATAACCAAAGAATGTTTGAAAAATGAATGTATCACATTTCTGTGCAGCACAACATAACTGATGAGAAATATCCTACAGTATAGTTACAAATCTTTTGGGGGAAACTCCACGCTGTGAGATATTTTAAGAAGCTAGTTCTTTGATTAATGTTTGAGCAACTGAACTCACAGTGCAGTCCTAGGCAACTTGACTCAGAGGTCCTGTTGAGTTCAATAAGACTTATCTTGGGCAGGCATGTGTTCGTTAACCCAACATTTGGCCAACTTGAGCATGGTCCATCCAAACCTGAGAACTTTCAGAAAGATAGCTCAGTGGTTTAGATACTTGACTGAGGAGTCAGAGGTTGGGAGTTTGATTCCCCACAGTGCCTCCTTGACAGGGGCTGGACTCAGTTATCCATAGGATCCCTTCCAGCTCTGAAGTTCTAAGACTATTACTACTACTATTAACCACATCCTTAAATCATCAGTGGGACCTCAGAAGCGTAATCTTCTCTGGATCACACCAACCTATGAAAAACCAAATTCAATAGTACACATTAGGATTTTTTTTTTTTTTTTTTGGTTAGGGGATCCATCACATGGAACCACATCTCCCTTGGGTATCTCCACCATCAAGTGGAGATCTATCTTTCTGCCCAGTCATTATTCATAATAATTTTCCTGATCATTAACATTTTCCGTTACTCATTGTTTCAAATGATTTTACTGTTTCTCATTGTCTCATTATTATTCTTTTTAGCTGCCAGTTTCATTGCTCTTGGTTTGCATTGCAAACCATGAGATTTAAATGGAGAGCAGTGCAGGAATATTATAATACATTAATATTATAATATATTATATATAGCATCATATTCTGACAGCACGGATGTCAAAGTTTATAAGCAAGGAGAGTTTCTGACATACGCTGCCATCGGTTTTCACTCTAATATGGACGTGTTTAATGGACTGTGAGCTAGCTCTACCCGTTGGATGTCACTGCCTTCAGCACATTGCTGAAGTTCTACAAAAAAAAACAGATGAGGCCCTTTGAGGAACTTTCTGGTGAAAGTATGCATGAAAAGCAAGCCAAATTGAGTTTATTGAGATTATTTATTTTATTTTTTAAAAAATTACTTTGCCTTTTTCCTTAAAAAGAGACCCAAGGTGGCTTACATCATTAAAGGCAGTCTTTATATACAAAATACAAATACAAAAGGGACCAAACAAATACCCTGTTAAAAAAACAGAAGCAAAAACAGAAGTTGATTTCTTTAACATCAGTTTTACTGATGTTGGCCTACCTATCGTCTCTTCCTCATCATTTCTACCCTTCTTTCCTGCATTAGCCATTTTAATTCATTGTTTTCCAGGCTGCTTTCGATGAGCTGCTTTGGAAGTCCCATCCAAAGGAAGGCCAGGAGAACTGTGAGCATGCATGATAGAAATAAATAAGGCATAAATAAATGAAGGCATGCTTGAATAAATCAACAAATGAACAAATAAATAAATATGTGCAGGTATGTATATGCTTATATTAGAGGGCAAGGTTCTAAATTAAGAAGTTCCCACCCGGTATCTGAAGAAGTGGACTTTATCTCTTAAAACATAAGAGATAAAGTAGCCATGAGCTTTTTTTTCCTTTTTATTACAGTATTATTATTTTAAATTTTTGCTCTCTTTTTTTCAGTCTTTTGGATTTTGACTGACACACTACCGTCTCAAGCCTTCCAAAATCGTACCAAGCTCGGAGGGAGAAAAAGGGAGCTCCGCGCTCTTCCTATGGGCAGAGGCAGCCTCATCTACCCAGTCTGCAAGGGATGGGGAGGTTGGAGAGGAAGGAGCAAAAGGAAAAGGGGGCTGAAATGCGTAAAGGCGCGCTCCAAACTCCAGCTCCGTCCGGCTCGGATGGAGACTATCAGGAGGCAGCCCCGGTTTGCCCAGCCGGGACCCGGGGAAGGAAGGAAGGAACCAGAAAACCGAGCTACTCACCGTGGACGAGTCCCCCGGCCAGGATCAGCACCACGGAGAGCTCCTGAAGCCCCATCGCGGCCGCCTGGTGGCCACCGGCCGCGCAGCCCCGGTAAAGAAGCCAGGGGCTGCTCAGGCGTCTCTCTGCCAGCCCCCCAGCCTCGGAAAATCCCCCAAAGTTCCCCTCGGGGGTCCCGGAGCGGAGGCTGGCCGGCGCCGGGTGCGGGGAATGCCGTGCGCAACCGAGGAAAGGAGATGCCGGGAGCTCCCGGTGGCCAGCGACTCCTCTCCGTGGCCAACTGCCTGCTGCAGCCGCGGCGCTCGGATGCTAATCGCCCACAAACTGGCTGGCTGGCTGGCTGGCTTGCCCTGCTCCTCCTCCTCCTCCTCCCACGTGACGGATTTCCCTCCTTCCGAGGAGATCCACCGCCGAGTCTCTTTGCAGCAGCAGCAGCAGCAGCGGGAGAAGCGCAACGCTCTCCAAGCGCTCCAGCAAGGCAGGCAAGCAGAGCGAGCTGGCTT